CTGAGTGGTCTGGGGCACTGTCCCTGCCAAGGACTCTTGTGCTATGGTGTTTGGACTCTCAAACATGGTAGGGAAGCCAGTGGCACCAGGGTATAGAGCACTTCATGTGGCAGTTAGAACCCCCACGAAAAGAACAGAAGACTCACGACATCACTGACAAATCACACAGCAGACACAAGGGTCCGAAAGCTGTTTCAACTGAATGGGAAGACGTGTGTCTGGTACATTTTATAAAGGCATCTGGCAGATCTCCTGACTGAAGCCACTGTGCTGGGCTTGGTCTCACTGCCAAGGACACACTTGGCCATGGGTCTGGACAGCATGCAATTCCAGTGTGGGACAAGGGGACATCCTAGCAGTTGGTTGGGAGCACAGGCAACACAGGGAGAATAGACACCAAAGCAGTAGACAGAACGTCCCCCCACCGGCTGCCCTCCCCCCTCCCAGAAGTGCTGCATCAACCAGAGACTCAGGAAGAGGGAACCATGACCTCAGCGATCCAGCCTAGCCCATGTTCATTTGGTCACCACCATCTTTATTACTTGAAGCCAAATGTCCCATGAGAGTTTATATTCTTCAATATCATGACAAATAAGGAAAGCTGGGGTAACCTCTGAAGTGAAGTGGATAAAGGTGCTTTTCCTGAAGCTGCTTTTCAGAAACACCAGCAAGCAAATGTTTGCCAAGGGCAGGCACTGTGTGTCTACAGGCAGGTGGTGAGGCCATTGTCAGGGTTTCCAGGAAGAAATGTAAGAGCCCAAGAGTGGGGCAGCCTCAACCTTGGCTGCCATACGGGAACAAGAGTGCAACAGATTAAATATTTATCTATGGTCCTGTCCACCTCAATAAAATATGGCACTCGTTAAAGCGGGTGCTGTAATGACGTTTGTGTGTCTTGGAATGCCGCCCTAGGCTAACAAATTGTATCTGAAGATGTGAAAACATGAAAATCGATAACAAGAAATGAAAAGTCTGTTTCACTGATAAAATGCCATTTATCTTAATCATTGGGGGCTTCTCAGAATTTCCTAAGTGCCCTTTTAAATGCCAGCAGCAAAGCTAATGCCCATGTGTGTGCACAAGGTGCAGGGTGGTGGGGTGTGTGTGTTTGGGGGAGAGGGGTTGAGGCAGGAAACCGAGTGCTCGACCTAGGGAGCCTGCTCAAGAGAAGCTCCATTCTGCACCGCTGAGTTGCTTTGCAAGCAAGGATGCTCCCCAATGGGGGTTTCCAGGCATGTTCCTGGCATTTCAAAACTCCCAGTGCAAATAATGCAACTTCCCATGAAAGATGTTTCATAAGACATTAACTTTGGCAGAAGTGATCGATCCCCTTTGGGTAGGTTTAATATAATATGGGAGACATTACAACAATTAGAAATCTTGCTGATTAATATGCATTTGGAAAGGGAAATTAATAAGCTAACTTCAGGAAGCCGTTTCCTTGCTCTGCCCAGCCTGGAGGAGGCATTTCTGCTCCCTGCCGAATCCACGCAGGGCTAAGGGACGAAGTCCTCCGTGCTGGAAAGGGGGCAGTGCTGTGTCCTGGGGTCCACGTTCGGGCTGGTAGTCCTTCTCTTTACTGCACATCTGCAGCCTCATCCAGTCTTCATTTCCATAGCTCTTCTCAGAGGACTGAGATTGGCGAAGGTCTAGGGCGCTCACTGTCCCCACGCCCCACCAGCCTCGGGGAGGTGGGGCATTAGAACTGCCCAGAGGGTGTTGCCTTTGCACCGCATGTTGGGCTTCCAGAGACCAAAGGGTGGGTGCAGGTGGGCAGAGGCCCCATCTCCTCTCCTGGGACCTTTGCTTCCCAGCTATGGCCGGAGTATGCAGACAGGAGGGGTGGTCACAGACCTCCACAGTGCTCACCATCCGCCAAAGTTGCTTCCTCTCAGTGATCAGAAGAGAAACAGAAATTGCTTCCCATTTTCCTTATGATTAAATCAACAATCCCCGACACCTCTGGTCGTAGACCTCCTTTCCCACCTCACTCTTGGTATTCTGGCCATTCTGGCTTTTGGCTGGGTTCTCCAGGAGCCAGACCTATGCCCCACTGGGGTTCCCCCACCCCAGGCTTTCCCTTGAAGCACTCTACTTGAACAGCTCCATGACCGGGCGTCCCTTTAAAGGATCACTTTGCTGGGAACCTCTTTTGACTTCAGAATTGAATTGAGACCTCAGAGTGTAAGGCAGCACCCTCTTTCGTAGTTTTTGTACCTGCCTTCCTTAGGGGTCATCACAATTTGTAAGTACTGATTTGGGCCTCACTCTCCACGTTCCCTCCCTTGGGCTGTGAGCTTCAACAGTGAGCCTCACTTGCCCTGAGAGAGCATACCCAACACACTGTAGGCTTGTTAATGAGGTGGCCAAATCGTTAACTGAGTGGCTGAGTTTCACCGAGAACTTGCCCTGCCCATTTCTCAAGGTAGGCGGGTCCCAGGTTAAGCACAGAGGGGGCATGCCTTTCCGTTCTCCCTTTGGAGAGTGGAAGTATGCATTTGTGTAGGAAACTCTGTTATGGGCTCCAATTAGAAAACAAAAGAAAAAGAAAACCAAAGCCTAAGAAAGCTACTTTAATTTTCTTTGCCTTCACTCTCTTCCGCTAAACTCCCAAAGACCAGGCTTCACTGTGACTTACTGCTTGGGAAGCCTGAAACTCTCTATTCTCAGGCTTAGTGTGGGCGGCTTGTTTTGCCCTGGGCACTCTTACCATCCCCTTGCTGTCTTCGGGAACAAACACACTGAAAATTACACACTACACTTCTGTAGGGAAGCAGAGGGGCTGAGCAAATTTTGGAGGTAGCCTAGGCTTATCTTCTGCAGGGAAGGGAGTAAAAACAGTCAAAATTTTGTGTTGCAGTTTTGTAGTTATGATATGAACAACTCTACAGATGATGTGTTCCTCACTGAGGCGTGAATCTGTAAATACAGGGAAGCTGGTGTGAAGACATTGGTGTCTCAGCGAGTGCCTTTACCAACTACTCCACATTTGCATGTCACTGTAGTTCTCTTGCACCCAGTATGCAGGCAGAGCTCAGTGAGGTTTATGAGGGAAGAAGGCACGTGGCATTACCATTAGTGGAGGTTTCAGGATATAACCCTCTTGCATATGTAAGATGCTTGATGTAGGTAGGATTCTTGAGATGGGACTGTAGTAAAGGCTGTGGATCAAATTATTTTCCATAGGTCCCCACTTAGGGCAAAGCTGCTTGACCTAATGACTCCATCTAGTCTCATTTTCCAGTGGAAAAATAAATTAGTGATAATTTGGTAGGAGTGGATTATGTATACATTTGCTAGTACTGAAGGATGGATGATTCATATTTGAACCACAATGTATACATATCTTCGAATCTACTTATTACAAAATTACAGACCCAGAATACTACTGATGCAAATAAGCTTCAGTATATTCTGTAGGGTTAACCAAGCAACCCACAACAAAATGAACTGATAATGATAAAGCTAAGCTAACAGTAATTCTAATTAAAAAGTACGAAAAGTAGCAATTACAACTTGCAACCAACTCAGGCAACACTGATGATGTGCTGATAAAAAGTCCTTCTAGATTCTGGAATGTCAATGTTGTGTCCGCATAGATGAAATCAAAGCCTTCTGACAACGCAGATGGCCTTACTGCAGAATAACAGAGGGCACTTGGTGACTTAGTACTTTCTCAGTCGACTCCAAATTCATAGACCAAGTAAGGTGTACAAACGAAGCCTTAAGCCAACGGCATATGATTCACCATAATAATCCAAAGATAGACCTATTTTTTTAGGTCAGCTAAGAGACAAGAGGTTTCTGGTAACAAAACTACTCATCACCCAGCAGGTCATTTCCTTCTTCTGAAGTCACTATCTGGGCAGCACGGCCTCCAGGCAGGACTTTGGCTTCCTAGCTGGACCAGAGATGTGCATTTGGGTTTACAAAGTACTCAGGCTCTCACTTTAAAATGTGAAAAGTTTCAATACTCAGTGCAAAATAATCTTCTGAGATAAACCATTTCCAAGTGAAAAGAAGCAAAAGTCTGCATGTGCTATTTAGGTTAAAAACAACAACAACAATTTTACATGTATGTTGATGATTTATATAGCTGGAATACCTAATCCAGGAAGTGAATTTTATTTTTATACATTGTTTCTCATTTTGTGCATTTTTTCCTTCTCAATTGTAATCTCCATGGGCTTCCCACCCTCATCTCACCCATGTGCCATCACCATGGTCCCGTGCACTCTTCCCACCCCAGTTCTGATCCCATTCCCCACCATCCCCACAATATGTCTCTGGTTTATAGTTGTTCATTGTTTTCATTTTTAGTCTATTACATTTGTTTTTCTGTCTCCCCCCACCCCTTACGCTCCTGCTATGAGTGAAACCATCCGGTATTTTTCTTTTTCTTTCTGGCTTATTTCACTGAACATGGTAATTTAAGAAAGGGATCAAGCTAGTTGCCCCTGAGGGGTATTGGCTGCTGGGAGAGAGGAGGGAGATTTGAGTTTTTCACTTGAGATCTATTCATGTCTTTTGAATTTAGTACCCTTCATGTGTTAACTATTAGAAAAAAAATCAATGAATTTAAGTTTAGAAAAGAGGAGGAATAAAAAAAAAAGACTTGTGTGCTTATAATATTTGATTCTTCTATCAGTTTCTCTTTTAAAAAGAGTGAAGGTTAAATCTGGTTCACTTATTTGCTCTGATGCCCAGTCCCTCCTTCTTAAGCCTGATCATGTGTTAAGCAGATTCCAGACCTAAAGGAATATCTCTAAAGGAGAGGATGGAATCATACAATCCAGGCTCAGGTCCTGGCGTTCTGGACGAGCACAGTCAACGAGCACAGTCTGGAAACCCAAATTTCTGATAAGTTGGATCTCTTACTGAAGAATTTGCCAAGTGTTCTGAGTTTTCATACCATGTGTCTCTAAAACACAAAAAGGCATTTATCTATTTTCAGTTTGAACATAAGACAAAGGAGATAAAATTCACACAGTCAAGCATACTTAAATGAATACATTTCTTTTATTCCATCCCAATTTAGTATTCCTCAAGGAGACAAAGCAACAGGTGATCTTGATTTGTTATCAGGAATTTAAGAGAGCAAACAGAAATATTATACTTTTAAGGATTTCCTAATGAAAAATGTCATTAAGTATATAAAAAAGAATTGTATCCTTTAACATGAATCAACATAATACACTGTCTTTAGATTTTAAATGCTCACAATGCTAAAGAAGTATGTAGTATGTCTAACTTTGTGGCTTCTAAGTGACTGCAGATAGAGGAGTACAAGGAATGCTGAGGAAATGTTTCGCACAATAGGGAATCCTAACTCTGGGTGGTATGAAGAGAGATCAAAGTTGACTCAGAGTCAACATGGACTTTGTGCCTGGTGCAGTGACCACGCAGGCGCAGCACCCTGGAGGAGAATCCAAAGTCTGGTGTTCATCATCAGATAAATGTTGGTAGAAACGATTAATCCCGCGGCCTTGGCCAGTTTGTGGATACAAATATGTGCAAGCCCGATCCCTCTGTCTCAGGGTGCTTCTGGTTTCCGTAGGTGCCCTGTTCCGTCCCTGTTCCTACAGGACCCAGGAGCCTGAGACAACCAGAGTCCTGTATTTCAAAGTTGGGTTATTGGGAAGGGGGATACAAGTAACCACAAGCCCACGAGTAAACCCACACAAGGAAACAGCTCGGCTTTGGGCTAAATGACTTACATTCTTCCTCGCCTGAATTAGCTGGTAATTGCATGTGGGCAGACAGAGCCAGAAATGGTCTAAATGATCAATTAGAAGGCAAAAAGGAATTGCTTTCTTTAAAGTTCAAGGGTCCCTGTTGAAGAGCCCTACTTCCCACGCTGGGCTCACGTGGGCTGGCACCCAGCTCTCTGCGGTGTCTGACTATATTGTTCATTTGCCTAATGATAATGAATTGAGCACTTATTTTACAGGAAAATATAGGGCATTTCCATTACATGCAATCAAGCAAAAAGCCTGCAAAATGTACCACTCCATTAATTTTAAACAGAATCCTTCCCAAATGTCACCCTGAAACCAGAGTATGGGGTTATTACAAATCTGAAAGAATTAAGAGTAATTTTCATTTGTATAAAGGAGTTGAAGAGTCTCCTGCCACACACACACACTAGTAATTGGGTTAAATTTGATTTGCCACTTCCAGTGTGAATCACTAAGCTGTGACCTAGCCTGCCTAGGTGGTGGTGAGATCAGTGGACTCCCACTGTCTCTTTGGGAGCACAGGTGCGTGTGTGCAAATGTGCACATGCGATACACATACAGGCACATGGAGCATGTGCAAAGAATGCACTGTGACTGGCTAGATATTAAAACAGGTTCAAAGTGGAAAAACATGCCAGCTCTGGCAAGCCACTTAACCTGGTGGAGCCTCAGTTTCCTTGTCTGTACAAGGAGATCATACACCTGCTTACTGGGAGCCAGGAGGGTGGATGAGTTTGAGCATACAGGAGCACTCAGCCTGGTACACAGCGGACCCTCATTAAACAGCCACTATCATCTTTATTTTCATCTTGGGGGTGTGCTGCTTGTGCCTAAGCTGGTCCCCAAATCACACTGTGGGAAACCTGGATCCGGCAGAATATCCTCAAGGCCTGGGAGCTGTGGTCCATTTTGGTAGTGATCATTTCCTTGATAATCTCGGTTCCCATGATCTCTGGGGAGTGGCTGGACTTGTGGGAGAGCACAGAGCAGGAGGTGGGAACAAGCAGGTTAAGGCTGCTGGAGGACTGTGCAGGGTGTCCTCACTCCACATTCCGGTACTTGGTGAAGAGGTTGTAGAGCACTCGCAGCGTGGATTTCAGGTCGCAGTTGACGATGTCTGCATAGGAAACAGAAAGCACCCGTGTGGCAGTGGGGCCATGTGGCCCCAGTTGGGATTCATCATCCCCTTCCTTCCACCACCAGGATCCTGTGCCAGGACCCTGGGGTGGGTCTCTCCCCTCACAGCAGTACCCCGTTCTACAGGGGCAGGAGGAGTGACTCTGAGATAGCCAGAAGCAAGTGACGGTTGAAAGACAGGCAGAGTGAGCATAAGGACAGGAGTCAGTGGGGGGGGGGGATGGGGCTGGGGGCTCTAGGGCAGGGGTGCCCCCGGGACATGGGGTTTTAACTCCCCCCTTCCTCCACTTCCTTTCTCCTATTTGCTGCTCCTCTCTGCCTTCTTTCCATGCCCTTGATAAAGCCCCTTCTTAGCTCTCATTCCTCTGCACATACTTCTATATAAATAATGGGAGAATCTCTGCCTACTATTTAGCAATGCAGACTTAGGTAATCAAATTCTAAGGAGCAGCAAAGACAAGACAAAAGCCTGATGACTATGGAAGTTGGGAGAGTGGTTACCTTGGGGGACCAGGAAAAGGATCAGGTTCAGCAAAGCCAAGTTGGCGGGAACACTGGCAACTGGGTGGTAGTTACATGGTGGTCTTTCTGCTCCCAGGTGGGTCCCAGCATTATCTGGGCCTCAACCTGGAGCTCTGTCTGGTGGCTGAGCCCTGGAGTGCTGAGTTAGGTCCCAGCCCTCTGGGTGATTCCTGTCCTCCCTGATGGTTTAGTGCTCTTTTTGTTCTAAATAGTCCTCGTTCTGCACAATTCTTCATCATGGCTCATTCTGTATCCGGAAGTTTGTGCCTTTTTATCTCCTCTATCCATTTTATTCCCCTCCCCTATGCCTTACCTGACAACCGAACTGTTCTTTGTATCTGTGAGCTTCATTTCCATTTTAAGGTTCGACATATAAGTGAGATTATACCATATTTGTCTTTCCTTCTCTGCCTTATTTCAGAGGTGATTTATTTCATCTAGTCTAATGCTCTCAAGATCCATCCATGTTGTCATAAATGGCCAGGTTTCATTTTTTTAAAGATTGATTTATTTATGCATACAGAACTGGGGTACAGGCCAGAGGTGCAGGGGCGGTGAGAGGCTTCACCAGAGACAGTGGGGAGCAGAACAGGCCGACTGACAAAGTACACTGCTGAGGAGAGCAGGGGATAGGTCAGGAGAGGTCTGCCACACCATGTGGGTCACCTTTGGGGTGGGGATTGAACTCATGCTGAAGTGGCTTTAGCTTCTTTCTTTTTTTAAAGATTTATTTATGCATTACAGAACTGAGGTATAGGCCAGAGGTGCAGGGGCAGTGAGAGGATTCACCAGAGACAGAGGGGAGCAGAACAGGCCGACTGATGAACACTGCTGAGGGGAGCAGCGGGTGGGCCAGAAGAGGTCTACCGTGCCATGTGGTCACCTCCGGTGCGGGGATCAAACTCATGCTGAAGTGGCTTTAGCTTCCTAGTGCTGTGCTTTAGCCAGCTGCACCACGAGGGAGGGCCCGGTTTCATTTGTTTTTTAATGGCCAAACGTTCCTCTGTGTATGTGCATCACATTTCCTTTATCTACGGGTGGACACATTTAGATGGACTTCTATATCTTGGTTATTGTAAATAATGCAGCAATGAACAAGGAAGGGCAGATATCCTGAGTTCATGATTGTTTGTTTGGTGGGGGGGGGGGATATAAATGCCCAAATATGAAATGACTGGGACATATGGTACTTAATTTTTTGAGGAACCTCATACTATTTATCAGATGGCTGCACTAATATCCATTCATTCCCCCATCAGTGCTCTCTACAACACTTGTTGGGGACAGTTGTTCTGACAGGTCTTATTGAGGCTTTGAATTACAATTCCCTAATGTCAGTGATGTTAACCATCTTTCCATGTGTCTGTTGATCATCTGCATGTCTTGTTTAAAAAAAGGTCTATTTAGATGTGCTCAGATTTTTTTTTTGCCATTGAGTTGTATGAGTTCTTTATAGTTTTTGAATATTAATCCCTTATTGGATAGAGGACTTGCAAATATTTTGTCTGAAGGTTGTCTTTTCATTTTGTTGATTTCTTTTACATGCAGAGCATTTTAGTTTGATGTAATCCCACTATATTTGCTTTTATTACCTTTGCTGTTGGTGTTAGAGCAAAAGATCATTGTCACATGTGATGTTAAACAAAGTTTTCTGCCTATGTTTTCTTCTTGGAGTTTATGATTCATTTTGAGTTAAGTGTGTCTGGTATAAAATAGTGGTACAGTTTTGTTTCTTTACCTGTGGCTGTCTAGTTTCTCCATTTATGAAGAGACTCCTTTCCCCACTGTATATTCTTGACTCTTTTGTCATAAATTATTTGACCATGTCTGTATGGGTCTATTTATGAGTTCTCTATTGTGTTCCACTGACATGATGCCTTTTTCTATGCCAATACCATACTATTCTGATTATCATAGTTTTATAGTATGGTTTGAAATAATGGAGTGTGATATACCTCCAATTTGTTATTTTTAGGAATGTTTTGCTTATTCAGGTTCTTTTGTGGTTCCATACAAATTTTAGGATTGTTTTATTTCTGTAAAAAATGCCATTAGTGGCCCTCCCTGGTGGCGCAGCGGGTTAAAGCACAGCACTGAGAATCTGAAGCCACTTCCGTATGAGTTCGATTCCCGCCTGCCGCCTGCCCCGGAGGAGACCACATGGCGAGCCAGACCTCTCCTGACCCGCCCGCTGCTCCCCTCAGCAGTGTACTTCGTCGATCTGCCTGTTCTGCTCCCCACTCTGTCTCTGGTGAAGCCTCTCACCGCCCCTGAGCCTCTGGCCTGTACCCCAGTTCTGTATGAATAAATAAATCTTTAAAAAAAAAAATGCCATTAGTGTTGGGTAGGGATGGAATTAAATCTGTAGATACTTTGGGAAGTATGTTATTTTAACACTATTCTTCTAATCCATATGCATGGGATACCTTTCAATTTTTTTTTGTGTGTGTCTTCAATTTCTTTCATCAATGTCTTATTTTGAGATCTTTTACCTCCGTGGTTAAATTTATTTCTTGGCATTAAATATTTCTTAAATTTTGTTCATGTCAAAGACTGGTCAAGTTTTTCTAGGAAAGAATTGCTAGAAAGATAAATGTAACAGTGAGCTGGCCAAAGGAGTGAGTTTGTAAAGAGGAGGTGCAATGGAACCAGCTCCTGCAAACCTGTTAACCCATGCCAATCCATTTCACCCGCTGTTGCTGGACTATCTGGCCTCTGGTTATGGCTGTATAGGACACATTCCACACAACTCCAGGCACACCATTCATAATTCTAGGGACTCATTCCCATAGACCCCAACATAAATGGTACTCCCTGGAGTTGTACAGTTCACAACTTGTATGACTATAGCCATTTCACTTAAGGTTAAGTCTAAAATCCTAAAAGGCTGCAACTGGCTCACCTTTCCCCTTCATTCTTTACACACCTGTCATGCTGGCTCCTTTTACCACTTCCCAATGGCCTGTGCTCCTCCATCTCTGCCTTTGCATATTCTGTGGTAACACCTAGATCATTCTTCCCCTATAGTTGATTTCCCTGTCTTCCTGCAGATCTCAGCTCAAAACACTGCCTCCTTGGGGAAGGCTTTCTGACACCTGGCCTGGGTGAAGGGTACCCTATTTTATGTTTTCAAAGCCCTCATGCTCTTCCTTCACAGCACCCACTTCAGTCCTAAGTTAGTGATTTCTGTGCCCAGCTGGTCAAATCTGTCCTTGCCCTGGACTATGGGTGACCTGAACACAGAACACCTATCTTTTTATTAGTACTGAGCCCCATACCTGACATGCTCAGGCCTCAGGAAATATTAATGGGTAAATGAATGAAAGACTGTCTAGTGTCCTGGGCACCAAGGAATAAAATCTAGAAAGAGGGAGTGCTCCCAAGAAGATGAGGTAGGTAAGGATGGGAAGGAGTTTCCAGGGGCACAGCCTCAGCTGGTGGAGACAGCAAAGCTGGTGGTGGAAGCAAAGTGTCACAAAGGAAGGGGCAGATGAGCTATGGAGGCCATGGACCTGGGTCACAGGAGGAATGTTGAGGCCTGGTGAAGGGTAGGTATGGCTGGAGGCTGGAGCATTGATTTTCACCTTTTAAAGCCAGATGAATTCTGAGGTGATTTTCCATCTAAAATGGGGTGATCATTTTCAAACTGATCATTTTAATTTTAATGCTCACTAAGGTTTGAAGTCCATTTTCATTAGAGTTGTGTAACCCCATTAAAGTCACTTAAATTCTTTGAATCAGTTTTCTTCAGTGGCAAAACTGGAGTTTATGAAAAGCATGTAGAACACATTAAGGGCTCCCTAGATGGCAGTTTCTGTCACGCTTTTCCATCTCCATCTCAGCAGAGTGCTGTGCACAGCTGTGCAGTCTGTGCTCTGCACACATCCTGAAGTACCGTTCACATAGACTAACATCTTCTTGGGAACCTGAGTCCCTTCTTCCTACAACAGGTGGGCCTGCTGAAGAGGCGAAACTGCAGTCAGATGCTGCTTAGTAACTGTTCTTATCAAGAGTCTGTGGCTACCCAGGCAGGCTTAGGAGGTGTGCTCTCTCAGCTAGGAGAGGGTTATCTCAGCTGGGAGAGATGTTTTGGCTTCCAAGGAAAGAACTGACTCAGTGCTATAGAAACAGAGCCTTTTAAAGCCCTGACCTAAGAAACGGTGTGATTAGCAACTCAGTACTACTCTGACAGTCTCTGTGTGCTGGCCTAGGGCTCCTCTCTGGTAGCAGACAGAATGGTAGGGCCTCCTGGGGAGAGACAGCCAGGACAGATGCAGCTGGCTGTCTGGGGTCAAGGAAGAGCTGAGTCAGACATAAGGTCACTTTAGGGAGAAAATGGCCCCTGACAGGGAAAGGGTTCAATGTTTGCGTCTCTTATTAGTGGCACTGGCAGCTCTTTCCATCCAGCAGAGAACCACCCAAAATAAGCACATGTGTCTCTAAATGATGCAGTGATTAAAGGAGGAAAGGGGACTCCCTTAACAGTACAAGTCCAGTCTTTACATAGAGAGGAAGGGCCCACGTGAGCACTGTCTGGACCTACTGGTGTCACTTGGGCCCCAGCAGTGGCTGAGGTCTGTGCTGGGAAGCTTACCCACTGTGTCTTGAGTCCCTTGGCCAAAGCCACCAGATGGAGGGGTTGGAATAAACTAGGGTACAATAAACTGGCTACTCGGGTGAACCCAGCCCTGAGGTGTCCATCGCAGACCAGCCTCTACAGAGCTCACCCCCAATCTCGGTCTTGCCTGTCTCTTATTATCCGCTGGGGCAGGTTCCATACTTTTGAGATGGGACTTTTTAGGGGATTTTGCTATGTTCTTTACATACTAAAAATTTTAATATGGCAAACATTCAGAAAAGTCTGTCTACATATATGTATACTTTTGAATAGTTGAAAGAGCACTCCATGTAACCACCACCCAGGTGAGAACTAGAACACTGTCAGAACCCTAATAGCATCCCTATTCCTGCAAAAATAACCACTATCCTGACTTTGAGGGTAATTACCTCCTTGCTTTTCTTCATAATTCTACCCTTAACCAACAGATTTTAGTTTTGCCTGCTTTCATACTTTATATAATGAAATCATACATTCTATTGTGAGTTTATTTTTTACCTCAATATTATGTTTACATGAGTCAACCATGTTATATGAGCTGTTAATTTTTTAGAAAAATAGTATTAGGGTATACTTTATTGTTTTTGAGGAATGATTATAATCATCAGCTATAATTCTATAGTTTTTCAAGGACAAATGCTTAATTTTTCATCTACCACTGGTAAACATTTAGGGTTTGGTGGTTTTGATCACTTTGCCCAATTCTATATATGCTTTTTTGCTGAGAATAACCAGTGACTTCTTTGCGGCAATGGTTAGAAGTCCCTCCCCGATTTCTCAGTTCATTCGTTTTTGGTTTTACTATAATCGTTATATAAATTTCAGTTTAGTCTATTGGGACGTGCACTACAGTTTAGGTCACTGTTGGACTAGACTCCTGCATGTGGACATGCATACCTCTGAGTGGAATTGCTGGGCCCTAGGGTATATTGGTTTCTTATTGCTGCTGTAACAAATTACCAAAGGTTTGATGACTTAAAACAACCTAAATTGTCTTAGTTTAAAGGTCCAAGTCCAAAAATGGGTCTCACTGGGATAAAACGAAGACACTTGTAAGGCTGCATTTCCTTCTGGGCAGTCTACAAGAGACTCTGCTTTCTTGCATTTTATCTAGCTTTAATAGGGGTCGCCTGTATTTGGCTCAGAGCCCCCTTTTCATCATCAAAGCCAGTAGAAGCAGGCTGAGTCTTTCTCATGTTGTATTCTGACATTCTGATTCTCCTGATTCCTTTTTTCACTTAACGACTCCTCAAATTATTTTGAGATCACCCACAGAATTCAGGAGAATTGCCCTCTCTCAAGATCCTCCACTTAGGTTCTGGGGGTTAGGACATGGACAATTTGGGGAGGCCATCATGCTGCCTGCCACATATGGTATTAAAAGTAATCAACCATATTAGATAAGGAAAAACTGTTTTCCAAAAACAGGCGCATGAATTTAGTTATAGCAGCAGTTTCTGTTTGCTCATTGCTAACATTTGATATTATCAATTTAAAATTTTTGCTATGTCTGGTTGGTACACTGTCTCTTAAGGTAATGGAAAAGGGAAATTGAACCATATCCCATATTTCCAGCCACTGGCTAAATGTTATCACCTGGAATTAAGCTGCCATTACCTGATCGGATTTTCAATATTGCTTAAAGTAGTATGTTCTTAGCTACTTCTTAAATTTTAGAGATTCCATCAGCCTGCTGGCTGTCCTAAATATAGGTTTCATTCCTGTCTGGCACTAGATTTCTTGAGTCCACCACCTTCCTGTTCTGCTGGAGTATTAACCATATTTGATGATGATTCTAGTTGAATTATGCTAACAAGGTAGGCATGGGCATTTGAAGCCATGTGGTATGATGTCCTAAAAGGAAAGGCACCAGCTTCAGGCCAGTGTCTCAGCTGCTCCACCGGCCATTAACTTGATGCTAACACTTGGCTCGTACCAGCAGGGGTACTAACACATTGTGAATCCTGCACAGCAAAAGTTATTTGAGACACAAACTCAAAGTTTTCAAAGGATTTCAAAGTAAAACAGAGTTTTGAATATCAAACAGCACTGCAGAGAACGCATTTTCCCATGAAAAAAAAAAATGCCTCTACCAGTCAATTTGATTTTGAAACACTCTCAAAGAATTACACACACTGGCACTCTTTGTAAAGTCTGCAGCATTTATGACTGAATTTCACTTTCCAGGTAGAAGTAAGGAAAACAGAGGGAGTGCTGGGGTACACCTCTCACAGAGAACAATTTCACAGAATATCATTGCTGTTCTCCTTTACACACTGGAAATTTACAGCATGGGCATGGTGCCCAGTGTAACAACAAATAAAACAGATGTGTTTTTCCACTCACACTGGTCAGGAAGTTTCGTATTAAACAGTTCAATAATTGCTCAAGAAATGTCATCTATATGCTGAAATATCCATATAGCTTGACACTGGGAAAACGGTCTGTCCTGAGGGAAATAAATGCCTGAGAATTGAGTAGCAGAGGAAGAGCTTCCAGTCTGGAACCAGGAAGTGTCACATTATGTAGTTCCAGGGAATGGGAGCAGAAATGTGGGCCAGCACTCTCCTGCTAGGTCTCTCCTCTCTGGGAGCCACTACTTGCTGTTTGGCCATAGAATGCTCACGGCCGATTTCTAATGACTTTGGGGTGGCTGGAGAGGCCTTGCCAGGGAGGAGTCCCTTGGGGGACATCAACCTTGCTGGAGGTCCTCTCTTAGATGAGACCAGGGATTTAGGGCCTGGCGGTAACAAATGAGGAAAAGATTGGCTTTTGTTCACCAGAGGTGATGATTACTGAGGTGGGGATTGAGTCATGAGACGGAGACCCAACCAATTCCCTGCTTTCTCCTCTGATTGTAAGTGGAAGCAGCCCCCCCCGTCCTAAGACACTGTCCTGGGCTCTTGCCTCTCATGTGTTCCAGTTGTTCCATCCTCTCCCCACATCAGCTTTCAATGGTGAAAGACTCCCGGTTTTGAGGCCATAGCCCTGACCTTTTCCCTAAATGCCAGCTCAGTTTGGTCGGTTCCTGGTATCAACCTCAAGGTTACCAAAACGATATCCTGTGTCCACTTGCTTTTCCTTCTGGGTTGCCCAATGCTGCTAATGATGTCTCACTTCAGAGATTCTGTTCTTCACACTGGAACAGAATTCTGATCACATCACGAACCAACTCAAAAACCTTCCATCCTTCCATGACTCCCACTCCTACAGAGAAAAGTCCAACTTTCCACCTTGGCATTAAATCCCTGCAGGACCTAAGACCAGCTTGCTCCAGCCTCATAAACTATTATTCAACTCATACTTAATATCCCAGTGGCGTAGGTAAGGGCCTGTAGTCCTCACTGCGTCGGCTGCTGTGCACCAGACGTTTAAGCCTGTCATGTGCATATCACTGGGAGGGCTGTTGCACAGACATACAAAACAGGTTCAGAAAGGGTCAGTTGCCTAAAGTCATATAGCTGATGGAGGCACAGGGGACTGAACCCAGATCTGTCGGGGTTCAGCCTAATTTCCTGACCTAATCCTTATGGCCAAGCTCGGCAGTTGCCACCTTCACCAAATTATCTGGCATCTTAAAGACAAGCGAAATTGAAGTGATCGATTGTGTGTGTGGTGATTAGGATAGAGGAGGGAGCATCAGCCCTGACCACGAAAGGCCCACCTGGGGCATGGAGAGGGGGTGTCCTGTGTAGAGATCTGGGTGGAGCAGAGGCAGCAACGGTGGGGGAGGGGGCAGGGGACATACACCCCCTACTAGGCCACTCGCTATTAAACAACTAGGAAAGTACAATTATCAGGGCCCACAAGCAACATTCTCAATTTCCCAACTGGATGAAGACAGAAAATATCTGCAACATGGTGCTGCCTCACCAGTGCCAGTAAAACGAATGTTCAATTAGTAAATGGCAGAGAAAGCAATGCCCGGGCTAAGAATCGTGCCAGGAGAATCGTGCCTCCCACATACACAGGTGCACGCAGCTCCCACCCATGCATGAGGCCACCGCGGCATTTTGCACTGTTTGCATTTTTGTACAGTCTCTCATGTGCAACCCAAACTCCACAAATCCAGCCAGTTGGGCACAGTTGGGGCAGACTGAGCATGGTCAAGGCAGGGTGCTGAGCAGAGCTGCCCGGCTACCTCCACGTCGCATGCCACCTGGCTGGGGCTGTTTTTGGCGGGCCACCCTGCCCCAGGGTCAGAGAACCTGGAGGCAAGGGGCAGTCCTGCAATGGTGCTCTGCGCATGTCTGCTCCACCCATCCCGCAACCCGGGGGTGGGACTTCAGGTCCTTTTCTCCTCCGGACCTGTCAGCTGCAGCTCGCAAGGATCTCCAGACTGAGTAGTTGTTGTTCTACCCCCACTTCCCCTGCACGTGGCAAAGGAGGTTTCAAAAAGACTTCCTTCTGGTATAAAATAGCCTTGCCCAGTCCCTCGCCCACTCGTGTGCAGGGTGGGCGTCTTGTTGTCTTGTCACAAACCCAGAGAAGAGCAAGGTACCTTCTGGCCGTGGTTTTGGCTTTTCCAGCCCTCCATCTTGCATGAGCTCAAAGGCAAAGGAGACATTTAGGACCTGGGGAGAGAAATGCAGGGCGGGTCACGGCACACTCCAGGCTGGACCTGGGGATTTGCCAGGACCTGCCCTAGAGGTGAAGGACTCAAACTGTAGCCAGGGAAGCTGGGTCCCTGCTAACAGGAGGCCCTAGTTTGAAGGAGAAATGAGGTTAGAAAAATGGGTAACTCCATAGAATGAGGACCCTAGCCTGTTGTTGGGGAAGCACTCTTAGAGAAGTTCCAAGTCATCTTTCTGCTTTATTGTGCTGCATGTCCACTGCAAGGACTTGAAAGTCCGGGATATACACAGAAACAGTTGAAAGAACCAGATGGCAAGGCATGTTTTTAAGAGGCGAGGAGGGTTTCTGCTCTGCACCAGAGCCCCTTGTCTGGGGGGCAAGCTGTGACAGCCCAGGGGAGGCATGAGGACGGGGCTGAGAGTCGTCAGTCACTGCCTTGCAGTGGTTACCTTCCCTGTCACCTCTGAGCAGGGACGAAGCTGGGCTGTGGCAGTTATTGGGAGCATGTGGCTATGGGTCAGGACAGCTTGAAAGAGGAAGAGGGAACTACTCAGGCTGCTCCATGGTCTGCAGGAAGCCCCTTCCTAGCTCAGCAGCTCAGCAGAATGAGCCATACCTCTGACCACTAGAGACCTGGACAGATAGAAATCCTGGATTTTCCAGAATCATCCTGGCAGGCATGGGCAGATGAGACATAGGGATGTGGGCTAGGGACTGCCCCTGATGTCATGGTCCCTTACCTTCTGTTCAAAGCTGTCTGGGGTCAGGAAGAAGCTGTGCAGGGGCACAAAGTAGCCCTCCAGAAGCCCCATGAGCAGCACCAAGTATACACCATCTGCAAACTAGAGAGAGAGGGGCAGGTGAAGGCACGGGACCCAGAGACTCCTCAGCCAAGCCTCGAGAGGTTTGTCAGTTTCCATGTCCCCTTATCCAAAGGGCATGGCGAGAGGCTTAGAGTTCGGTCTCTCCCATCAAGAACGTAGATGTCAGAGTAGTTAGAAGCCAGTCTAAGGGAGACCAGACTCATAGGCTGAGCTGACAGCTGTAGAGCTTCTACTCAAGTGAAGTGAGTGAGGGTGTGCTGGGTTATCAGGGAAGGCTTTTCTGAGACAGTGGTGCACTCTGGTAAATAAAATTTGGAAGGAGTTAAGTGGTCCAGGTATGGAAGATGACATGAGGAAAAAAGGTCAGGGGCATATCTGATACTCTGGAACCTTCCAAAGAAGGTGGGGCTGTCAAGTGCTTGTGGTATAAACAGTTGCTAGTGTTTGCAAGATGCCAAGGATCTGGGAATCATCTTAGGATAGTTAACAAAAACTAGACTGAATTTCCTGGAATGTGGGCTGGGCCCAACAATTGCCTTTGCTGGGTGACTAGTTGGGGCTGTGGTTTGCTTTTGTTATAGGCACATGACCTTGAGCATGGTGTTGACTTAAGAGTGGCTCCCTCCCTGCTTCCATCTGTCCCACATTCAACTCAGGTGGGTAAGGCTTGAGTATGGTTCACCCAGGCTACCCCAGAGTAGACAGCAAGAGAACAGGCCCCATATCTGTGTCAAAAATCTACTTTCCTTGTGGGAACTGGCTTGAGTGGGTCTCATTCTGGCTGTGGATGGAAGTGGCAGAGGATAAAGAATCTAATCTGTCAGTTTAGGATCTTGGGCTGGAGTTCTGGTTACACAGCTTGGAGTGCAGTGATTTAGGCTACACCCACCTCTGACTGTGACACCTGCCGTGAAGCCCACGACAGGCACCAGATGTGCTGTGCAGACAAGCCCTTTTGTGGCACTCCCTGCCCAGGACAAGAAATGAGAGCTCCAGAGCTTTCTAACCCAACTGAGGATACACCACTCTTCCCGAGTGTTCTATAGCTCCCAAAAGAGTCTATGAAGCTCGTTCTGCAGAATCCAGACACACTGGCACTGTGCTCAGTCACAGACCAAGCAATTGCCTTTAATAATGATGGCAGCTGCCCATGGGCTCAAAAGAAAACCACATTTAAAAATTTTTCATCAGAGGAGGCTGGGAAATAGGGTATACTATGGTCTGAAAGCATCTCCCTTATAAAGATTAGTTATTAATTATAAATGGGAGGGAGAAGGTGCTTTATAGTAAGGAAATCTGATGCACATCAAGTGAATCAACTGTTATGAATCAAAGTTGTCGCCAGTAACTGGTCTATTTGAGAAAAACATGGCGGTACTTAAGCCGCGCTGTTGCTGAAAATCTGTAACTTGACTCTACCCACGAGGGGGAAAACTGAGGATGTTCTACAAAGCAAGTGGTCTGTGCTCTTCAAGCATGCCAATGTTACGTGAAGAAGGGCTAAAGAGGTGACTGCATGTGAGAATATTAGGCCTGTCAAAATGCTACATGTGAGAATATTAGGTCTGTCAACATTTGGATATAGAGTATTTCTTTAAACCATATGACACTGCCCAATGAATCAAAGGCAGTCAGCAATGTCACAGGGTTCAACCTATAGAAGAATGTACCATAGAGATGATGAAATTACTAGATTTTGATTAAGGATGTTTAAGAAAAGGTATTTGTTCATAGAGTTATGTGGCAGTATCTAGGGGGAGAGAGAAAAATGAGTATCAAATATGGCTAAATTTTAACTCTTGGTATATGTAGGTGGACAGTATGTGGATATTCATGATAAAATTTTTGCAACTTTTCAAAAAAAAAAAAAGGGTAAGAATTCAAAGCAATTCCACCCAGCTCACTTCCCTGGACAGCAAAAAGTCCCCCTTCTCCTGAGGAGCTGTGGAAGCCTGTGGAAAGCCAGGAAGCTGGGAATAGGGCTGGGCACAAGGAACAGCGCCTTGGGACCCTCCCTGCCCTGGGGCTGTCACTCACCTGGGTCTCCAGTTCAGTGACCTCCAGGTTCAGTTTATTCAGGTGCTTGTTCACGAAAGTGATGAGCGTCTAAGAGAGAAGCAAGCGCAAGCCAGGCCTTGAGCTGGGGCCACTTGCCAGTGTCCAGGGGCTGCTAGCCTGTCCTGGGGCAGCTTCACTCCCAAGAACCAGCTGTGTGTGGAGGAGCAGGCTCCCTGGGGAGTGGCGTTGGGCTGTGATGTGGCTTCCAGAGGCCTAAACTGGGCATCCTTGGAGGGCCCCTCCACATTTTGTCCTACACTGAAGATAACGTCCAGCCCGGGGCTGGGCGTGGGATTGCTGTGCCGAGTTCAGTGAGCATGGCAGCCCTCAAGGCTACTCTTGAAAAACCCTTGAGCTCATGGGAAAGGACAACCCCTCGGCTTTGTGGTCCCACACACTGTGATCTGAATGGCCAGCTGCAGCTGAAGGGGTCCTTAGAAGGCAGAATGTCCTAGCTAGGGTCAGGGGTTTGCAGGGAAAGTAGGAAGAGGTGGGAGAAGACGGAATCCCATTGGGTTCCCCTCCCAGTCCTTTCCTAGTTGTAGGTACCATGCCCAGGGGACAGGCAGGGCCTGTGTGAATGGGCATAATGGATGGGGGTTCAGGGCAGGTGTTAAGACCAGGTGCTCAGAGCCGCAGAACTCCTTAAAGATATTGCCATCCCTGTGTGAGAAGAAAGGGCCTGGCTGAGGATTCAGTGACAGCAGGACAGGCAAACTGGACATCAACAGGGAAAAGCCAGTTTTTGCAGAGATTTGGCGATTACATCAGCCTTGGCAGGGAGCCCCCAAAACACAGGTTCAACTACATCTACCCCTTCTCCCTTGGTCTCTCCCCAGTACCTCTTTCCTACCTTCTTTACTACATTGAGCTTGTCTGGGGCATGGTCGAACAAGGTGTCAAAGGCGTCACGTTCTGGAAAAGAGGTCATTGTCAAGGGGGGCACAGAGCTCATTCCTGCCTGGGAAGCCCCCCAGGTCCCAGCCATGAGCTTTAAAATTACAAATGGGTCTTCTTTAGGGTAAAAGACTGTTAGGAACTCAGGAATTCTAGTTTGGTTAGAGATTTGGAGCTGATCCTTACCGTAGGAGTCTTTCCTGTGTGTGTGGTACACACACACACACACACACACACAAGAGTGCACGTAAGTGTTTTTACCCTGTCAATCTTTTGTGCTGGGGTGCATGTGGGGTTCTGCCAAGCTGTTCGACATGGGAATTGGTCATTTCTCTTCACTGTTTCTATTTTATTGCATCAAGATTTAGTTAAGAGTTCTAAAGCATTTTTGAAGCTCCTTGGAGGTTCAATGTTATCCAAATATCAAATCACTTTACCTTCTAATTTGCAAAACCAGGATGCCCAAGACAAACATTCTGGGAGAAGGCATAGGTGAGTGGATTGGGATCCAGGGAGCCACAGGATAGAATGTGAGCTCCTCCTCTTTATGATCTAGTCACTTTAGCCCTTTGAGTCTGTTTCCTCTTCTACAACATGTCTGAAAAATGAACTTCTAGGCGTGTCATGAGGATGAGTGAGAAAAATGATGGGTGTACAGAGCTGAGGTACATGCACAAATGGAGGGCTTCAAAATATTACTCATGGTAAATACAGGGTCATGGAAAATAGCAAAGTCATCCCTCTTGCAGGCACCTTTCTACTAACAGTCCACATGCTCTCCAAATTGAGGTGAAGCAGTGGAGGGGAGCTGAGGCTGGAGTGAGAGGTGTTCAAGAGGAAGATGGAGCTGGAAGGCTCACGATCCTGGAGCCTGTCTTCCTACACTGAAGGATCATGAGACTTGCAGAAGGTGACTGAGATCTGACATTCACATGCCCAAAGCTTTGGGAAATGAGAGAGGCAGGTATGATGAAGAAAGGGTGAGCATAGCTTCTGGAAGGACTGCAGAATGGGGAGAAGAAACAGTTCCCCAGCATGTACACAGATTTCCTTTACGACCACAACTTACTTAAAGCGAGACCGCCTTGCAAGAGCCCAGAGCCCATCAGGAAGCCCAATGTCAATAGTCTGGTTAAATGCAAGAGGAGCAGGCAGCTGTGGTTAGTTTTCTCTTCCCACCAGAAAGCTGACCCTCCCTACCAAGTGGCCCTGTCACCAGGCTGGTGCAGATAGACATGCAGGAAGCAAGCGGAATGCCTGTTCTTCCCAGCTGCTGCAGAATTAACTACTCTCTGACAGCCACCAGCACTAGCGGACAAGCATATGCAACTCACCATGCCTTCCGGAAAGAGCCCTGCAGGAAAGGGAGAAAGAAAACAGTGTGATTTTTTCCTTCTTGGGCGTTGGTTGAAAAGCCCTCAAAGATTCCTTCCTTGGCATTTTATTCTGTGCTAAATCTCCAATTATTGAGTCTTTATTACCTGTCTTCCCCCCTCTGCTATGCAGGTATATGGTGTTTAAGTAAAGTCTGGTATAAGTAAGGCTTAAAAGAATATTTCTTCCTCAAGTAAAATCACACTATCTTTGTCAGTTAAAATGAATAATTGTGCTCAGAGCTCAAGATTCCCAAACAAGTTTTAGGAGCAGGGTCTACAGAAAGTCTCCACATAGCCACTTGGGTATCTGCTTGGGGAGGTTAGGTTGGTTTCTCTTTGGATCATCCCGTGATACCCAATAAGATACACCTGCCAACGGACCTCTGGGTGGGTTTTCTCAAACAGAGCACAACTGAAACCTTACTCAAAACAAGGCAGCAAAATAAAGCACAAGTGTTGAAGAGAGAACACTTCTGCTTAAATCCCACAGAGCTATGTGTGTGCTGTGTGACCTTGGGAAAGCTACTCTATGAGCTCCAGTTCTCTTGTCTGTAAAATGAGAGAATAACAGTAAACATGTCAATGGGATATTGTGAGCATTAAATGACTTCAAAGCCAGAAAGGCCGTCCCTGGTGGTGCAGGGCCCTCCCTTGTCTTGTCCACTGCTCCCCTCAGCAGTGTACTTCCTCGATCTGCCTGTTTTGCTCCCCTGAGCTCTGGTGAATCCTCTTACCCCCTGCAGCTCTGGCCTATACCCCAGTTCTTTATAAATAAAATAAATCTTAAAAAAAAAAAAACACTAGAGGCTCTCCCTGGTGGTACAATGGGTTAGGACACAGCACTGCAAGCTGGCCACAGCCGTTTGAGTGCGAGTTCAATCCCCAGCCCCAGAGGTGACCCACATGGCACGGCAGACCTCTCCTGGCCTGCCCCCTGCTCTCCTCAGCAGTGTACTTCGTCAATCTGCCTGTTCTGCTCCTCACTGTCTCTGGTAAATCCTCTCACCGCCCCTGCACCTCTGGCTGTACCCCAGTTCTGTATGCAGAAATAAATAAATCTTAAAAAAAACAAACTAGAAAAAATTCAGCATAATTCCTAGTATACAGTAAATACATTTTCCTCAATATATTTTGGGTTCTGATTATATTGGGTTATTCCAACCGTATGTCTATCACCCACTGAATGATCACTGATGGGTTGTGCACTGGAAAGATAATGAACTTGGAGTTAACTGTTGGGCAGACCAAAGGCAGCCATCCTCACCTTTGGTTTGTGGGTTTTAGAAGGTAAAATCATTGCTTTATGTTCCATGACGAACATCAACAGGTACAAAAGCACTTCCTAAACTCTACTGTGTTAACGTTACTAGGAGTCTGCAAGATGGCAGAGCGAGAAGCACGAGCAGAACTCGGGAAGCAGAACACGGCACGGATGGAGGCGCCTACGGCAACTGCACGCTGGCTGGCCATTTTCTCACAGGCTACACTCCTCTCAGGTATGTCTTCCACTTTTCTAGAAGGCAAAATACTGGGTATGGACAAGCCCAAAAAGGGGCAGGGGGCAGGGCGGGGTGGGGTGGTGAGGAATGCATTCCTGCAGGCCTGGCCTGGGGCAGCTTCACTCCCACCACAGACCCAAGGCCAAGACCGAGCTCTGTGTGGGGGAGCTGGCTCCCAGGGGAGAGGCCTTGGGCTGTGATGTGGCCTCCAGAGGCCTCAACTGGGCATCTTGGGAGGGGTCCCTTCGCATTTTTCCTACCCTTGATCTGGAAAGCCTACATCCTGGACCCCCGTTAAGGCACAGGCACTGTTCCAGATGGGTCGTGGCCCTACTTCAGATATAGAGAAGCCCAGCTCAGAGAGGCTCAGGGACTCTGGGGGTGAAGGGAGCCTGCACCCAGAGGATAGCCGGGGAGCAGGGGAGACTGAAAATGAGCTTTGCTGGTTTTGCGGGTGGCCAGGTCTCAATCTGCTCCACCCCCACACCATCCTGCTCTTTTGGTTTAAGAATGAAACTTTTTTTCCCCAGGGCAAACCTCTTACATGTCCTGCTTGTCCAATTTCTTACTGTAAATGAAAAAACAAACAAACAAAACAAATCCCACCACTCTAAGGTAGAGAGGGACCTTTCTGGGTCAAAGCACATGACCACATAAATCAGATTCAGAAAAGAAAAACGTCCTTTCGAAGGTTAACAATTTAAATTCAACCCCGTATTTATGGCATGATGATTTCATGCTGGTTGGCTTTTTTGGGCACACTTTTTCCTGGAGTGCCACAAAATTAGAATTTTCAATCACTGCTAATTCCCTTTCCCCACTTCCCCACCCAAGTTTGTACCTTAAGCATTGAGAGGCATGTTTTGAATGCATGGAAAAGGCTAAACTATAATCATTGGCTGAAGTCTAATCCCTCTTGCAATCCCAATAAATGAAAACTAAATATCAGCAAATGGATGAATTTCGGAGAAACATCTGTGTTCCATTACAGAATCGCTGGCAACAATGGTGTTGACATACTCTGTGTTACCAGTTATTTCCTCTTGGATTTGCCGAGACTGGAGGATTCCTTCTCGTTTCTGAAACAGGGGTGGGGAAGAGGTTGGGAGGAGGAGAGAAAAATATGCTTTAGAAAAATACAAAAACCTGATTAGCATTCCTGATACTGAGAAGGTTACTGGTGTTTAAGGGATGAATCTAGAGACGAGATACTGTTAGAAGTGAACTGTGGCCCCTGCTTGCTGCGGGCTGGACTGAACCATTTCTGAGGTTCGTGCAATTAGTGCTTGGTCCAAACAAGTAGGCTGTTTCTTGGATGGTGAATCTTTTCTTTCTTTATTGGAAGACATTCTGCTGGAAGCAAACTGTTTGCCTCCTGGAGTAATCCACAGTAAACCAAATGGAAATGAATGCCAGGGTGTGTCTGCCCTCCAGCTGGGGCCACAGTGGGAAGCTGAGAAACACATTTAACTGGTGGACTGGGAGGAGGAACTGAGGCCAGCTTGGAGAATTCAAACAGAGGGAGAGCTGTCTTTTATTTTAATACATAAATGTGCGAACTTTGAAATAAGTTGTGGAGTGTTCAGGTAACTAACTTCTTCTCTGAGAAAAGGTTAAGTTCTTTTAAAGCACAATTGCCTACTTTCCCATCTACTGCCCATCCATCCATGCATCTTTTCATCAGTCTATTTGACCTCTGTCTATCCCTCCAATTAATTCGTCCTCTTCTTTATTTAATAATCAGTGCCTGTGCTGGACTTTGAGCAAATATAGAGCATAGTTTCTGACTTTGATGAACTTAGGGCAAAATGAGGTAGATGAAGCAGGGATGTAAGGACCATTCCTTCCAAATGGCCCTGGTTTATGCCTGATGTCCAGGCTCAACTATTACTTGTAGGATCACCTGTCCCTCTCAATTGTGTCATATGATAAATTATGTGGTCACCCTCACACCTAGAGGACATGCCGAATGTAGGCAAGAGTAGGCACTTCTAGCTGTGATGATCAGGGGAACCTTTCGCAGGGAGGGGTCCTTGAGATGGAACTTAAAGGACACATAGGACTTGGCTATTCCAGTGGGAAGACTGGCCCAAGCAAAAAGGTAGTGTAAGGAGAGCATGAATGGGTAAAGGCAGCTGCTTGGAAAGTGGCTGCCATCAGTGAATGGGGAGTCGGCTGACTCCCAGTTCGGAGTTCAAGCCTCACTGGGAGGGCAGGGGAGCCAATAAAGGCATGTTAGGGTTCAGGAAGACCTTCTGATGGGCACGATGAACTCACTGGCACAGGTCCCTTCATAGTTAGTTACCAGAAACTGAAGGACCATTGGGGTATAGTGAGCACTGGTGGGGGCAAATTCATGTCCCACAAAGCCTGGCATGAGCTTCAAGAAGGAACCTGCAAGCACTGGTGTCTCAGCTGCCTCCTTTACCCCACTGTCAAACTTTTGGAACTTCTCTTCACATCCTCAACAGCCACGGAAATTAGTGTCCTTGCAAAGTACTTTCAATAGAAGGAAAGGTAAAGCTGGATAAAGGCCAACAGGCTATCTGGATTACATTAAGGATGGACTATCAAAGCAAATCAGAAAGGAAAGAAAAAAAATATACTATTTAAATGGGAGCAAATGAGGATAAGCTCTGACTTTTTCCAAATTCAGCTTCAACACATGTAAAATTTTCACACGAGGCTAATGGAATTTATGCCCTTGCAGTGTGAGGTCACGCACAGACATGAAAGCTCATCTTCAACTTCATGCAAAATTCTCCTTATCTAGAGTGCAACAGAAATCTGGGCCAAATTACACCTCACACAGCACCCAGATTTACTGCTGTCCATTATTTAGTTCCTAAAGAGTTCTCACTGTAGCTCAGTGACTCACGGTCAGTTCCGAGTCCTGCTTTTGTGCCTATTTCGCTTGATAAAGCAAAACACCCCCTACAAAGATGAACTGCGCAAATGCTGTCTTATGCAATGTGTCCTCTTTTCTCCCTCATGCTAACAAATCTGCCTACAGTAGAAACTAAACCAGCAACAGCCTCCTGATGGCTTGTAATTGAGCTCAAAATGAGGTAGAAGAAGCGGCTTGCAGTGACCACTGTTTCAGAATAGAAGCCCCTCCTCTCCTGCTCAAATCTTGAATCATGGTTTAAAAATACATATATAACAATAGATTCGCACATTATTGACTGGCAAACACAACACAATAGAGATGGCCTGGGTTCACTGGCAAGATGCTTGTACCAGGATGCTCTGGGCTGGCCACGTTTCCAGAGCAGACATGAAATGCTTCAGACCATGCTTGAAGCAGTGGAGCGCTCTGCAAATGAGGCCAATCAACCCTTTGTAGTCGGTTGCACCTCATGTCTGCACCACACACATGCGTACTGCTCTGGGCTCTGCCAGCCTCTCTGCCCCTGGTGTGCAGTTCCATCATGGCAGGCAGGCAGGGCCAAACTTTCATTGTCCTATTACACTCCTTTGCCATTTAGCAAGTTAAGTGCCCAGAAGGTGTCAAAGAATGCTTTTTCGATTGGGTACAACTGAGAGTCTAATTGAAGAACACCCCAATGTCCTTCTTTCCTCCTGTTCACATCTAGTCCCTGAAAGTTCAGTCCTGGACACTTGCCTGACCCACTCAGGCTTAGCAGCCCCTAAGGCTCTTCCTCACCAAGGCACGGTGGGGCTGCCATGCTGTTCTCTTTTCCAGAACTCTGGATAACCCTGGGTAACCAGGAAACTGCTCATAAGGGGAGTTCTCCCTTACAGAGTGTTTATTTGGAAAGGAAAAGAAACAAGCAAACAAAATGATGACCTTTTGTTAAATAGGCATAAAGTTGGAAAATTAAATTAAATTTGAGTATCTAATGGGGTTAGGAGCAGAGTAGATAGTCATGGGGAGAGAGCACACCCTCACTGTGGAAATTACACAGCCATATGTGAATGGAAATTCCATCCAACAATCTGGAAGGGATGATGTGTGATCCCAGCTGTGCTTCTCTGGGTGGGTGAAAAGCAGCAGCGCCCTCAGGAAAGGCACAGGAAGTTGGGGGCTTCTCCAATATATGTGCACACACCCCCTCACAAGCATAGCTGTCTCTCCTCTCAGTATTTGGGCATCACATTTTTCATGACAGAAGGCTTCTCCCTGGCTTGTGGGGCAACACATAAATGCATGTGTGCACACACATCTTCTCCGGATCCCACTACAGACCCTCAAATACATGTTACACAGACGCTGGCCTGATGAAAATCCTGGGCACATGTCACACAGACTCCTCCTGCCCCCCCATACACCTATCAGGGAGAAGCTCACAAACGTGAGGGTGTTCACTCACCTGCCCCTCACCGTGGGGAATGCATACCCCACATGCCTGAGCTCTCAGAGACCCAGCTTCCACCCCTCTTTAAAAGCGCAGATCCCTATCATGGCATCTCTCACCTGGACCACAACCACCTGGATGGAAACATGGTCTGGGAGTCGTATTGGTGCCCGGAAATACTGGGACAAAGCAACCAGCAGATGCAAGATGGCCACCAGGCTCTTGGCATGCACAGCTGAAATAAAAGATGATGTAAAGGTTAGTCTCTTTCCAAGTTCTAAGCAGAGATAAGTAGATATTTAACATGTAGCAGTACCACATCCAATACCTCTTATTAACTAAAAAACCAAACCAAACCAAAGAAACAAACCCTTGGTCCCCACAGTTCTTGGTCAGGACCCAAAGAGCTGCTTGAATCATGTTATGTCTAGATTTGTACTCTACTGCCTTCCACTCTAACCCAGTACTTTCAGCAGGACCCTCATTACTGCTGAATTCATAGCTCAGATCAGCCCTCTGTCATCCCATGGTCTTGGCTTATTCAATTTTAATAACCCTGGGCATATCTTCTCTGGAGTGTCTGTCCTTTCATTCCTACTCAACTGTGAGCTTGCGGGGTCATCACCACAACTCTTACCCAGAGACTCTACACAAAGCAGATCCTCCATTAATGGCCATTGAGTCAGGAACACTGAATCCCTAGAGGCAGGCATGAGAGACATCCGAGGTCTTTGCTGCTCTTTGCCACTTAAGAACTAGCTGGGAGGGGATGAATATGACCCAGTGGGCTGCTAGAGGTTCTGAGCAACATGCTGGATGTTGAATGGCCCGTGTAATAGGATGCTGGGCGACTGTTGGGTTGTGGTTTTCTCAGGACATGAGAGGGGACAATGCCGGATGGGGCATGCTGGTAAGGCACACTGGAGCTTGAGGTCTACCCTTTATTGCCTGTGTGACCTTGGGGAGGTCACTCAAGGCCTCTGAACTAAGGTCTATTCATTTTCAGTATCTATGAGGAAGTACAGATTTTAAGAATTTCAGAAGACTGCATATGCAAAGCTCCCAGCACAAACAGATCCCTAGGAATGGTTGATGTCTTTTATTCTAACTTAAGAGAGAGGATCTGGCACAGTTAGGTAAATCAGCTATCCCCCTTCTTTTCCCATCAAAGGGAAGATTTGTCAGATGCTTTACCTGCCTTCATATTCTGACCAGCCTTGTTGCTTTTCATTACAGGGGGCATTTAAAGAAAAAAAAAATGCCCATTTTAGTATGATCTGGCCCCATTGCTGGGGTGTCATTCTGTCTGCCCTGGGATTGATGAGCTGTTCAAACAGAAGCTTTGAGAAATCACCAGGAAAAGGAAATGATTTAGGCATTGCTTGGGAACTCATTAGAGTTTCTTATTATCACTGCTACTTCAAAGAAGGGTTTCCACTGAGTCTGAACAGTGGCTCAAAGACCACCATTAAACAGCAGATGAGCCACTCCTGGCTGCACCTTCCAGAAGTTCTCAGTTCTGGGGATCGTCAGCTAAGTTCCACCGACAGCCAGTTTCAAAAAGGCCCCTGATAATGGATCCAAGTTTGTGCTTATCAGCAATGCCACACCATCCAGTCACAGGGTTGTAAGGATTTTTGCTACTTCTCCCCACTTATGACAGAATATAATGCTGGACAACAAGGTTGTCCTTGTGCTCCATTGACATCGGGTGCTGTCTTGGTTATCTGTGGGAGAGTCAGTTCTACCACGGTAGATGTTGGGCTCCCTCAGTGAGAGCGCATTCTCCTGGTAAGCTTTTCAAAAGCAGTAATTGTAGTCTCTGTTTCTCTCTCACACACATGCTACATGTAGAAAGGTGTTCATTATTATATCATGCACTATTATTTAAAAAAATTGGGGAAATAGTTATGTTCAAGAGGATGGTTTAGATTAGCAGCTTTCAAAGTTTTTTCTTAACTAGAAAATGCTTTGTTCTAAAAGCTGTTAGGCCAAACAAATGAAAAGGGCACAACTCTCCTTCCCTCCCACCTCCCCTCCCACCTTGCCTCCTCTGTGTTCTCCTCTCCTCAGTGGCATCTGAGATTTTCCTTGGACCAAGGTTGGGTCAAGTGTAGCTTAGTAGGCGTTATTTGACTAAATTATGGTATAGGTACATAATGAATACTTGCACACAATGCAAGTACTTTCCAGACATTGTAGGTATAAATTATTACTACTGCAGTGTTAGTGAGAAATAACAATGTGATCTATGCACCTATGGATATACACACATATATCAAGATAGGTCATTTCTTCAATGAAGAATAGTGTAAGAGGCACCCTCATCATTGCCAGCCCTCAGCGTGCCTCCTGGGAGTTTTCTCCATGCACCTAGTCAGAATGTAGGGCTGCTGTGCTCCTGTACTTGAGTCAGAATGGAAATGTGCAGAGTCAGAGCCGGGCCAGGGTTCCACTGTGCAGCTGGGCCCCACAGCCAGTGTGCCACGGTGTCACTCTAGGGCTGGAAAAGCCACTTTCAAGTTGCTCCAGACATATCTTGTGGTGGCAATATAAATTTTTAGGAGGAAATCTGACAATACAGATGGTGACCTTAAAAATGTACATCTTTTGTTGATAGCAGTCCTAGGTATTTCTCCGAAAAAGTAGTTATAATATGAGTAGAAGGGCGTTACCAGGCTGTATTGAGATTAGTGAAAAAAATGAAATGCAATCTTAAAATTCATCCGTTAAGTAAATTATGACACAACCGTATACTGTCACATTATGCAATATTAAAAAGCACAGAATATTTAATGATCTTTAAAGACTGAAGTTTTCTAGAGATGCAAGTTTTCAAGGAGATATCATCCTTGTACAAAGTATCGAGTATATAGGGGCACATTTGTTTCTTACACACAGACACGACTTGAAGGGACACAGGGGAATGCCTGTCTCTGGGCCAAGCATTCAGGCTTAGCACTGGCTGTGCGGCTGCACTCTCTGGGCCTCATCCCCAGCTCCACCATTCACCACCTGAGAGGCTTGGACAAAGACACTCCTTTAGCAAACATGCACCAATCACTTTTCCAGAGTCTAGGAGAAAAAAATACTTGCGCTCACCAACCTTTCACTGTGTTCCTTAGCCTTGATTTTCTCATGTGTCAAATGGAATAACAGGATTCTTTCTTGGCTGACTGAGTGAGGATTACAAGGACCCAAATATGTAAGGTATTTAGAAGAGCACAAGGCACACAGTAAGCACCACACATATGTTAGATATTAATAATTTCATTTTCTCAATTTTCAATAATACTAATTATTGTTACTTTTGAGAAAATAGAACTTTAGTCCCAGCATGGCAATTCAGCAACCGCCCCTGCAGTTTATCCTCAGTGGAAAGACAACACAAGTTCTCAGACAGCCAGGAAGGGGAGCAGAGAGGAGGGGCTGTTTTGCCCCAGGAGTTATACCTGCCACATTCCTTGTGGAAGAAACCACTGGAGCTTGTAAACCGGCTGCAGGGAGCCAGCCACTGAGATAACTATTCCCTCTGACCTAGTAATTCATCTCGGTTCTAGAAGTAATTCAAGAGAAGCAAAAAGAGACCCAACCTAGGTGGGACCTTCAAGTTGGCACTATCTGAGCCTAGCAACAGGCTGGAAAACATCTCAAAAGGATCAGCGTTGACATAGGGCTAAGTTACCTCTGGGATAATCTACCCCAAGAGATAGAAGCATTGATCAAAATTCCTAACACCAAAGACCCCGGGACTTCAGAGAATAGGTTTGATACAAGAAGAAGCAACCAATGAGTGTATATGACTTCATCAGGTAAGAAGATCATTGATATGGACAGCGCTGGGCAAAAAATGAAAATAGTTGAGTGGCAAGATGAGTAATGATTTTATGCATTTCCTGTAAGAATGGAAAGCAAATGTGAACCAAACAAATCATTCAAAACCACTTAAGATAGTGCTCCTGATGTGACTTTAAAACATTTACTCTGTGATCTCAGCCTTCCCCAAATTGGGTTCCTTGATCAATTGAAAGGTGTTTTATTTAGAGGGAGACATGGAGATGGTCACATTCAAAGGAGCAGAAAATAGGACCAAAGGAAACCAAGCCAGGGTCAAATCAGAGGATTTTAATGCTTATGACTATTGTGAATTTCCGAAAACAGAGGCATTTCCCAAACCAGTAAACTATCCATTTTCTCCCTCCCCCCTCTGAAGGCTTCTCAGTGTCCCTAGCACACAGAATAACACCCAGGGCTTTTGCTTCTGTGCTCAGGAATCTCTCTGTGCTTGGCAAGTAGGCCCCATTCCAAGAGCTGGCCATTGTGCAGGGCAACTTATTTTACCCTGCAAGCGAAAGTGTAATTATACTGAAGGAAGTTCTTGGCGACATGCTTCCAAAGTCAGATGTCAGAAATCTGATGAAGAGGGTGTGGCTGCCAGCTGCCTAGTCTCTGAGTTGAGAGGTGAAGACTCCTTTTTCTTTCCCAAGTCTGAGAGGTATTGCGTTTGGTGGCAGGGTGCCAGCTGATTTGAGTTGTCTAAGGTGGATGTCCTAGGCATAGTATTTAGCCCTTTACACTTAAAACACAATCTAAGGCCATTTTGATCTATTACAAACAACAAAACCATCTTGGATTCCCAATAGGATAGGAAATGCGCTTTTGGTTCTGGATTCACCTCATCTGCTGAGTTAATGCTGATTCTGATATGCACTTGTTAAGGCTGTATTAGACACGTAAGCCCTTAAAGCAGTAGAAGAATGAATAGTTGATGCTTTCTGAGATCTGGGTTATACTGGCTGTGAAATCTGAATTGTAAAATTCTGTTCCATGCCTCGACTCTGAGTCATAACTTTGCTTCTTCTGGAAAATGAGATGAGAGAGGTAGGCCATGGGGGTTTGAACAGAGTCAAGGTCTTGCTCTTTGCTTCTTACTTGTCTGCACCTGGGGACCTCCAGCCAAGGACTCCTCAGGATAGAGACCACATCTTTCTGAAAAAATTGTGCTGAGGGGCTCTCCCTGGTGGTGCACTGGGTTAGGACAAAACACTCCAAGCTGGCTGTAGCCCCTTTAGAGCGAGTTTGATCCCCCACTCCAGAGGTGACCACCTGGTGTGGCAGACCTCTCCTGACCCACCCGCTGCTCCCCTCATCAGTGTACTTCTTCCATCTGGCTGTTCTGCTCCCCACTCTGTCTCTGATGAAGACTCTCACGGCCCCTGCACCTCTGGCTTGTACCCCAGTTCTGTATGAATGAGTAAATAAAAGAGAGAGAGAAAAGAAACACATCACTTAAAAAAAAAAAATATGCTGACACTCAGGTGTAGCTCAACAAATGCAAGTTCCCTTTCCCATTCACTCTCACGTGAGGCTCCCACAGGAACAAGAACGGGCTGGATTTTGACATAGTTACTTTTCCCAATGGTGCGTGTATGTAAGTTCTCACACCTTGCACCCCCCACGAGGGGCCAGCCAGTTTACTGGATGTCTTCTGGGGGAAATCCCTGGGTGGGATCATTTAACAGTTCCATTTCGCTTGGTCATACTCACAGTCCACATTCCACTTGATGCTCCTGGGAGGGAGTTTCAGGGTTTCGTTGATCTTCTCCAGGACTGTCTGCAGCTTTTGCTTCTGTGCAATCTCTGACTGGGTGACCTCAGCAACATTCAGCTTCTCGCTCTCAAGTTTCTCTGGGGTGACACAGGAAAAACAACAGTTGCTACCATCAGCCACAGAGGACCCTAGCCTGGGCAGTGATTGCCTCCTTCATTCCTTCACACATATTCACAGGCGTACACTCCTTCCCTTCCTCTCTCGACCCATATCACTGCTCTCCTAGTCTGATGGTGGCTCTGGTGGCACCAGTATTGTGAAAATCATGTGATCCCCAAATTATAAGATCCTAGAACTATAGAAGTGGGGCACTTATCTCAGCCCATCTTTTCCATCATTGTGGTCTTATCCCTCTTTTGTTCAATTCTGCCTTCTCCACAGAAAGACTGTGCTTGCCCAGAGCAGTCAGTCAGTCCTTCCTCAATGCATTTTGTGCCAAGCTGAGTCACATTTTTCTCTTCTAAGAGCTTCTTTCCTTCTAAACCCATCTGGAAGATAGCTTACCTGGTATTTCCCAATCTATCGCTCTTTTTTCTCTTTGTAAAACACATCCCTAAAATTATATGGTGTTTAAAATTGATGACCTCCCACAAGTGCTGTTGGTTGGTGGGAGAGCTAAGAGTTATCACTTGGTGGTATCTTCATAGTGGTCACTAATAGGCCTCTAAGAACACTTCCTAAAAATTATTCTAAGCAGTAAGAAAGCATTGGGTAACAGCTTAATTGAAGTGCTCTTTTCTTTTTGAGAGGCACTTGTATAATGCTGTGTTTTAAAACTACCACTTCTTATAGGCAATAGGATAGCCCCTTAATACTTACAGGCTAAATACAAAATAAAATTTTTTTAGTCTAAATCCATATATCTATTATAGAGAATAACTCTGGATTTTCTAATGCTTAGTCCCTACATCTCCCTAATCCACTCCCACAGCTCACTCAGGATTCACAGAGCTGACACTCTGATGCATGTTGAAGATGTCTTTTCAATTTTAAGGGCTGCCACACAAATTAAGCTTCACAATACATCAATGGCCTCCCTATTGCTTCCATTATTTATTTTATTTTTAAGTATTCCAGCTTATCTGTCTTCTTTAAAATGAGATTATGCACTGGAGAGTTTCTTCAAATTCTGTGGATTTAAGCATTCTTTGCAGCACTTTGAGAGGATGACTTCAAGCGATTCTTGTCTATGATGGCTTGAAGCCATCATCCCTTATTTCTAAAGTTCAGGAGTTTAACAAGCTCCTAGATCTAAACATCTTCTTGAATATTAAACTTTAAGGAGACCCTGTGTATCTTTGCCATTTTCACTGAACCCTTATCTTGGGTCTTCTCCTATGAAGAAATACATGACATGTTGCTTTTATCTTACACTGCAGTGAGGGGAACTTCTGAAGCTTTAGCTTGCTGGAAGAGAGCTGAGCTAGATCAGTGATTACTGTCTTGGGAGTGGGCTGATGAAGGGAGAAGGGAGAGGCAGGGTGCATGAACCACTTTTTTGCTAGTTTTGTTGCATTACATCATTGTCTATGAATTTTCATATTTAAAACCTGTTGCTACTAGACTTCTTGGAGTGAATGGGTTAGGTCTCCAAGTGTGTTTTTCTAGGTCAATAACTTTTTCTTGCACTGCTGTTTTCTGGTTTTCACTTTCAAATACTGGATTTTACACATTACTAACTGAAATACTCTGACTTCCTGCTTCCATCAATTTTTTTTTTTTAAGATTTATTTATTTGTGCATACAGAGCTGGGGTACAGGCCAGAGGCTTAGGGGCGGTGAGAGGCTTCACCAGAGACAGAGCGGGGAGCAGAACAGGCTGACTGACGAAGTACACTGCTGAAGGGAGCAGTGAGCAGGTCAGGAGAGGTCTGCCACGCCATGTGGTCACCTCCGGGGCAGGCGGGAATCGAACTCATGAGGAAGTGGCTTAAGCTTCTTAGTGCTGTGCTTTAACCCACTGCGCCAACAGGGAGGGCCCCCCATCAATATTTTTAAGTAGACCATGCTACTAAAATTATAATGCATTCTTTCTTAAATTAAAAAAAATCTGTATTTTAGCATCTGGCATTGCTTGTTCAAGATAAGAGATTTTATGGGTTTGTGTTCTCCTTTTACATTGTGCATTTTTTACAAAATAGCCTGTTTTACTTTTTTCTTCTTTGCTAGGCTTTGGGCTTTTCTTTTTGTCTTTTACTATTGTTGCAGGATATTTTATTGCAGGCACTCACATTGGAATGAAGTGGATAAAAGTAGAGATAATACCTTGAAGTGAGACTTATTAACAGATTTAGTGAGTCTCTTCTCTTCTCTCTCAGTGGAAATATGATTATAGTACATACATTTTTTTGTTAGTATTTTTCTATTCAAATATATTTCATGAGTATTTTTTCTATGTCAATACATAAGGATATAATTCACTTGTTTTTGAAAATTGCATATTATTAGACTTCTAATATATTCAACCATTTCCCTCAGGTTATAGCTACATTTTTTCCTATTTGTAATAAAGTTGCAATAAACATCCTCTGTGGGGTGTTTGCATGCGTCCAATTACTGCTGTTAAAAAGCAAAACTAATGCGCTACAGATTTTCTTTTTAAATACAGTCATCTAACCAAATTTCCTAATTAGCTTTATTATTGTTTGAGTCTTCAGATTCTCTAGGTATAAACAAGACAACACTGATATCTTTATAATCTTATTCATTTCAGATTTTACTGATACTTTAATATAAAAAAATTGAGAATCTTTTCTGCTATTTCTACCCCATATTTTTTAAATGGCCATCCCTCAAAATTTGAGATGTGCGCAAACATAGTTAAATAGTAATTTCACTCACTTTTATGAAGGATTTAAATATAACTTCCGCTTCCAAACCTCCTAGTTTTCCTGTTGGGTTCTTTATTAGGCTAATTTAGCTAGCTCTATGAAAACTTTCTATTGCTAAAAATTTATTCTTCCAGGAAATTGTTCTCCCTTGTTTCCACAGTTCTGTAAATTATTCATCATTATTTAATTTGTTATAAAGTAGTAGATGTGATTTTGAAATATGTTCTTTAGAAAATTTTCTCAGGTAGGAAAGATTTCATGAATCTGTTTTTGAAATGAGCATCCAAATATATTTATAGAGAGATTATTTTTAGAAAACAATGAAACAGTATTCAAAAAGTTCAGGAATAGCAAGACAGGGCAGCCTAAATTCATTACGCTAGTGGAAGAGCTGTTCTAACACAATTGCCATAATATAATACTATGTTGATATAACCACTCTTCAAAGAACTAGAATACAAAGCCTAGGGTGATTCCTGAGTTATGAAAAAAAAATTTTTTTCAAAATATATAGGGAAGCTTAGTTAAAAGTTCTTCTTTTTAAAATTGCATCATGGCCAGAGCATATGGTCTATGTAATTGTTGAGATTTCCTTTCTGGACATAGTCAAATTTTTATATGTTCCATCTACAGTTAAAAGAATGAGAAATTTTTTGTGGAGTGTTGCTGGTTAACTCTATTGTTAAAATCTTTATCCTTGATGAGTGTTTTTACTTAATGTTTACGAAAGACATGCTAAAATTTGTGATGGCATAATTAAATTCTTTGTGTATCTGACTGCCATTTCTGAATTTTATATAATTCCTGCACAGGTGTGTATTAAAAACTCTGTATTTTTCTAGAAGCTAAGTTTCATTGACAGGTGGATCCTCTGTAGTAAATGCATTTTGCCTTTTGTCTGACACTAAAAGTTTTTCCAGCCTTCTCTACATTAGCATTAGTCTATTGTCTATAACACTTTCTATTTTTTTCTTTAAAATTTTTGTTTTCTCATGTATTGAGGCTGTTTCTAGTATACAGCATATAGAATATTTTGTTGTTAGCCTGATAATCTTTGTCTTTTAAAAACAGAAGTATAATTGACATAGATTGTGTCAGTTTCGGTGTAAAATATAGTAACTTAATATTCCTAGACAATGTGCAACGTCACCACAATAGGTATTTCCCATCTATTTTTAGTAATTTTTTAGATTTGCAGTACTGTGTTATTGTCTATGAACCTCAGGCTGTACACTGTATCTTCATGACTTATTTTTAATACTGAAAATACATATCTCTAGATCCTTTTCATCTATTTCACTCATCTCCCAACCTTTCCCCTCTGGTAAGCACCTGTCTATTCTCTGATGCTAAGACTAGTTTTATTTGCTCACTTTGTGAGATTCTACATATAAGTGAAATCACGAGGTATTTGTCTTTCCCTGTCTCATTTATTTCACTTAGCACAATACTCTCAAGATCCATCCATGCCATTGTAAGGTTTCCTTATTTTTTATGGCTGCACAGTATTCCGCCACAAAATACATCATTTAATAATAGTGATGTATTTTGAGCAAAGTGTCATTAGGTGATTTTAAGTGATTTTGTCACGTGAAAGTCATAGAGGGTATTTACATAAACTTGGCTGACAAAGCCTAACATGTTCCATCCATTGCTGTCATTACACAATGCATGAGTCTACACATCTTTATCCATTCATCTATCAGTGGACACTTAGATGGTTTTTATATCTTGGCTATTGGGTGTAATGCTGCAATAACCATAGGGATGCACATATTTTTTCCAAATTACTGTTTGAATTTTCTTCATACACGTACTCAAAAGTAGAATGTTTGAATCATATAGTTGTATTTTTAATATTTTTCAGGAAAAATACCGTTTTTCAGTTGTAACAGTTAACAATACAATTAACAATATACAAGGGTTCTCCATCTCTTCATCAACATGTCTTTTTTTTTTTTTTTTGGCAGATGTGAGGTGATATGTAGTTGTGATTTTTACTGAATGATTATTGATGTTGAGTGCATTTTCATGTTTCTTTTGGTTATTTATCTTCCTTGGAAAAGTGCCTGTTCAGATCCATTTTTAAATAAAGCTGTTTTTAGTTGTTATATGAGTTCTCTATATTTTGGATATTAACTGCTTATCTGATACATGATTTGTGAATATCTTCTCCCCTTCAGTAGGTTGCCTTTTCATTTTGCTGATTTTTTTTTCCACTGTGTAGAAACATTTTAGCTTGTTAT